CGCATTCCGAATCACGATCTCGAAAATTGCTTCCACTCGGGCGCGACCTCGCTTCTCCTCCTCTCAAGAAGTTGAAGAAAAAGCTGGAACCCCATCCCGAGCCGGTGAAAGCTCGCCACCCTTGAGAGGGCATTGGGCCCGTCCGACTTGCCGAAATCAGGAGGAAAAAAGGTATTCGAGACTGGCAGAGACGAAGTGCACAAAACATCTGTGCGTGTGCGCGATCGACGAGGGCGCCCTCGCCGCCGTCGCCACCGCCGCCACCAACGTCGCCGCCGCCACCACCACCTCCGTTAGGGTCGAGGCTAGCGAACATCGTTGACGCCGACGGCTGGCGCAGTTTCAGAGCCACGCAAGTGGCCGCGCGCGCTACTTGCCACGGAGCTTGCGAGCTTGCGGTGGTCGCGACGCCTAGCCGCGTGCCGGTTCTCCCGCGATTATCATGTGCCCTATTGGTGCGATGCGTTTGGTGATTTTCCTCGGGCTCTTTCTCTGCTCCGGTAAGTACGGTTCACGTGTAGCCAATTTAATCGTACACACGTATAATTAGATTTAGTGTAATAGTGGCCTTGTGCCTTCACATGCGTCCCTGTCAATGCTGAAATGGCGTTTTTTAAAAAGTCGCACTTGGATTATTTTGTTTAAGGGGCTTTTAATGCTTCATAAAATTATAATCACGAGGACAATTTTCAACTTTCTCCCCGTTATCCTCGGTGCGATGTTTCATGAAATATCTGTTTTTTTTCTTTCTTTTTTTTATAGATGGTGGCAGTTGTTAAGCACTGCACGGATATTAATCATTACCGTTATTTCTTTTAATGAAAAAGTTACAGTTTTAAAAGTTACCTATCAGAAAGTTAATTTCATACGAGGTATAATCACTTGGTATGGGTTATTTTTTTAATGCTTCTCGATGTCATTTACAAGTAATTTCCAATGATTTATTTATTTATTTAATTTTTTTTTTTTTTATAACTGCTGTTACACACTATTATTTTAATAAAACCACTCATCTTTGCCATTATTATTATGTTAATAATAATATAAATAAATTATCATGATTTGTAATCTTATTTTATTATGGAAATTTCATTATGAAAAACTTGGAAATATTGTTGGCCACGAATTCTGGTATCTTAAATCACATCGAAAAGTATATTTATACCTGCACTTTCGCTAAGAAAAATATACAAAACCGTCAATTTAAAATATGAAAATAAAACTTTAACAAATTTATGTAAACTAATTTAAAATTAATATTTGCATTGGAGTTCTAAAGTGAACAATTAAATTATTTGAATATTTATTTTACTTCGTTTGATAAGTTACTTGAGCAAATTAACTTAGCAGAGATTAAGATTTCAAAGTAATTTAAACTCATTTTCACTGTTTAAAATATACGTAAAGTATAAATGCAAATATAAGTGAAATAGAGTTGCCATGGTTTTATTTAAAAAAAAAAAAAAATAGAACGTTTGTTGAAATGAATTTTATTAAACCCGATAATGGCAGAAAAAATCATTTAAATTACTCCATATATTGCATTAAAAATTTTTATGAAAATATAAATAAGAATTTCCTCTTCTATCGTGAATAAAATAGCTAATAATATTTTAAAAAACAAAAAAACCGAAACTTTTTGGACATTAAACGATATAAAGCTATTTTCATTAATAACAATATTTTATAATAATTAAGGAACTGAAATTAGGCACTATGACAAATAAGAAATTAGACAATTTATTAAAATGAATACAAGTAAGTCAATAAATAAGCGAACTGCAATATTATTTCGAATACTTTGTATTTTAAATATTTATATAATAATATTGTAAAATTTTGTTCAACCAAATTATTACATAAATGCCAATATACCATTAAGAGACTATTAAAAACTATTATTTTTTAATGTTTAAATAGTTATACTTAATAATATACGAGGAATTAAAAATATTTATTATGAGATATTTAAGTAAATGATAATTTAATGATAATTTAATGATATATGTTAAAAATATTATTGTATTCATATTAATTATTTATAAATAACATTAGCAATGTAGAATATATTAATTTTCATGATTTAAATTTACTTGAATTGCTTGCAAATTTAATGAATAATGATCAAGATGCGTATTAATTACTTGTCCCCGCTGTAATAAAATTTTGAAAAGATTTCATGAGAAAATCGAACTTTTAATAAATTCATAAAAAAAGCGAGAGCCCCTGTTTATAATATATCTGTTTGTTTATGTAATTTTTAATTGATTTCAATTTTAATTGATAAACAAATATTTATTCACATTGCAAATTATAAATATTGAAAAATGTTTAAATTACGCAGATTTAAAAGAAAAATAAATAATAAAAATCGAAATTTGTGACAGGTATTAAAACTTTTTAAATGAGAATGAGAAAACACTGGATAAAAGAGAGTTAAAAAGAAAGACAAATTTAAATTATTCAGAGCATATTACATGGCACGTCAGAACTAAAATTATGAAATAGAGAATAATAAAGTGACCGGTAGAAAATTTATAAATAATCATGACATGCATTATTAGCCTTATAAGGTATAGAAAGGAAAGTAGATCGAGAAAATGGCATATAAGTCAGATGAGCTAAACTATATTTGAAAAACGAACTCCTCAACGTGTTAAAGAACATTTCAATTAATCATAAAGTACTTGCTAAAGTTTCATCGATGCAGCCAACGTAAAAAGCCATGAGGGAGTTAATCCCTCGGCTCGGTCATTTTACGTGGTGGTTATCCTCCTCATTCGAGATTCTCATCTCGAGTGCAACTGGCTTTAAGTACCTCCGACATCCCGAAAAGAAACAATGTGTGCGCGAAATTCAGGATCGATGCAGAAACATTGGAATAAGGACACGTAGAGGAGATAGTATTGGAGGCTTGTGTATACAAAATAATCAGATACTTCGGTTTCGATAGAGTATCTTTTAAATATGACGAACTGCAATTATAGCTACTCTCGGTACTAACTTTTTGTAAATCAATGAAAGAAACTTTATAATTTTGAAGCGGATATCGATGAATTTCTTTTTTATCTTAAGTTTGCCCGAAACCTTTTGAGTATACAAATTTTAACATTGTCGTCATTAAGCTGTAAGTTCGAAGAATGGAAAATTATTGAGTTGTGGGTTGAAAGTGTGTTGTATTTATAAATTCTAACAACATTTGCTCACTTGTTAGATTGTTTTTGTAATAAATTAATTTTTTTTAACTTAATTTAAGTTAAACTTGTCTTTCAATTTTAGTTAATCGATGACTTTTCTCCTCCAAAAAATGTGCAATATTCAAGCTTCTAAATACAAAAACAAAAACAAAAAACAAAAATAAACTTCATGATATATATTGATAATTAATTTTTATACTTTTCATAAGATTATCGATAGAGACAAAAAACAATTATGCTTATTTACGCGTTATTCTTCAATTAATATTAATATATTATTAACGTCTCATGCTGCTACTTAGTTGTCAATTTAAAACGAATGTAATAATGGTGCAGCGGTTCGATATATTTATACTCCTTTACATGTAAATTACAATTAATTATTCTATTTGTGCATAAATTTTTAAAAGTACTTAATTTACAAAGCATGAACCCATGTACATTCAGTATACAGGAATACAATTTTATTTTAACAACAAAAAAGTTCGCCAGTACTCACTTAGAGATAGATATTGATCATGTAATATCATTATATTTTACGTTTGTAATTTTCTCTTCTCTGATTATTTATATAAATATATGACCTTTAGAATTAATTTAATATTGCAATGTTTTAAGAAAACTCGGTACTTTTAAAAGGCATAAAATAGTAGAAAAATAAAATTGATCAAACGAGAGATATTAAAATTTCTATTAGCAAACACTCTCGTAAATGTTGAAAACTTACTTTGTATTATAAATGAACAATACTTTGAATATAATTATTTAATTTTATAGAATTTAAAATGATATTGAATGTAATTATTCTATACTATTAGGATAATGAAAAAGCGAATCTTTATCGGTTCGTTCCTTTATCAATACATTATATTTTTACAAAATAACCCCATTTGCTATGCCAAAATGCCATTATATATACCACGTATGTATAAAGCTTTATTTATTAATCGACGAGAAGACCATTTGCATTTTAGTTTATGATCAAAGAAAATGTATATAATGCATTGATCTACAAAGGCTTACAAACATATATATATATATATATATATATATATATATATATATATAGTTTAAATATCAATTTAAACTATAAAGAATGGACATTCGATGTTAATATATCGTCGAAATCAATTCATTTAGCTATTTGACGGTAATAAAAAAAAAAAAAATAAGATGAATAAAAATATTCATAAATAGATAGTCTACATTTGCTTGCATTCAAAATGTGCATATTTACTTTATTCAACATCATACGTTAAACATCAACATTCGCGTTAGACGTCGATTACAATTTCATCATTTACGATATCCATAGCAATCTCGGGTGACTACTACACATAATTCAAAATTCTAAACTAGCTATTCCAACGAACCCTGACACTTTCTTGTACAAACATATCTGGGCGTATATAGTAGTTCACGGACATGTCCTTATTTATTAAATCATTTATTTGTTTTCATGCGATTTCATAGGATATATTTGAGTTCAATAAGTTTGATCATAAGTTTATAATTAATCTTTCGATTGGACGGAAAAGCTTTACGTGTATATATTAATCGTTTGATGTTAAATTCGACAAGTCATTAAAAATCTTAATCAAAAAAGTCTTAAAAGTTTAAAATCGCAAATAAAAGAATTTTGATTCCATTTTTCAAATAAAAGATTATTGCTTTTTACATGTTTATCTATAGTTTTCATATGAATTTTCAGTACCTAATGATTTTACGTTAATACGCTATCAAATCTCTTTACTTAAACATACTTTGAATTTTCATAACTTCATTTGAAACATGTTGAAAAAAAGGTTCAAGCATTTATTTAAAAGGATGTTGTTGGCGTTGAATATAGTGTTTTCCCATTCGCATGACCAGTGAAATCTTCGTCATCTGCAAAAGCTCTTTATTTCAAAAGTCTCATATTTGTATAGAAGCTGAGTGCGACACACTGACGAACGATAACTTCTCCAACATACATTTATCCCATAACAAACAGCCGAGTAATTTCTTTGACAAAAAAATACCGAGCTCCTTTTCTCGACTTTTTGCCATTTTTATTCAGAATCATTAACGAACTGCCTATAACTGTCCGTAATTATATTGCCAACCATATCCCCGTGCTTGTCAAGCTACAATTACCAACGCGCGATACGAAATATCTTAGTCATCAAAATCCTTGGAATTTTTAACCTGCATAATTTCATGCGTATAGGTAATGTTTTGCGATAAAGAGAAATACTTGCCGAGGTCGTCTTTCGATACTGCGCTCGGCTTTCTCGCCTTTCTCACGTAGCCCTTCCTCGTTA